AAATTCATATATTAAAACAATAATCCATGACATGCAAATACATTTATTTATACTCATAATAAAAATTAAGGAATTTATTTAACTTAAATAGGTTTTAATTTCATCTAAAACACATACAAATGGATGTATGTATGTCTGTGCATGTTTGTTTTAATATTTAATTAAATATTTTAATTAACATTTCCATCAGACAATTCGTTTGGCTGTGTATCTGTGTGTGTGTGTATGCATGTGTTAGTAAGTGCTCTTGATTCGAATGATAAACCGCAACATTGTTGCAAGTCAATTAAATGCATAAATTATGCATAAATTGCATGCAACTGAAGAGACAAAAAAACGTGCCACATTCCTAACCACTCATAACAATTACACTCCAAATTGCAGTCGACAAAAAGTCAGGACATATTGTGGTTATTATTTTCGGTTCCAGGAAGGGCAATGCGACAAATTGCAAGTAATTTCCAGTGATTCAAAACAAGCTGTTGCAGAAAACTTTGCAAAAACACGTAGACAATTAAAACGGGAATCGAAGGCAAGACCAGCATAAGCATCAGCATCATCATTTGCGGTAAAAATCTAAAATGACCGAAAATGTTGCATTGTGTGCATGTTGGCAAACGCCTGCACATCTGTTGTAATGTCTGCCCTGCATTTAATTACAATTATATGATTTTGTATACACAAGTATCGTTCGTTTACCAAAACACTATCGTGACTCAAAAATAATGCATAAAATGAATATTAAAGTTTTAATGGAATCTTACATAAAAATATCCCAACGTGATTAGATGGACAAGATGTCCTCAATAACTTGAAATAGTTTTACTGAATTTTGCCAGTCTTCGAGTGTTGGTTCAAGAGTTATTAACATGAACATTTTTTCGCTGACCAAATAAATGAATTTTTTTAAGTCGAAAACAGATTTCTCAGAAAAATTAATTCAAAATCTAAACAGTTTTCACACAAACACTCTAAACTATTTCAAACCAGTAAAGAAAGTCCTAAAGTCGGGCGGGGCCGATTTTGTGATACCCTACACCACTTTGCTAATTTAGTTGAGCTCCACTTAATAATTAAAAGCTTTTATGGGAGAATTCAATCATACACGCTATGATTATAATTATAATTTAAAATTCAATAGACTAAATATGCCGAAGCATTTGTATCTTTTAAATTCGGACTTGTATTGCCCATTTGGTGCGAAATTAATTTGAAATCGGATAAAAATATATATGGGAACTGAACCGATCTCGATAAAATTTGGCAAAGATATTTCTGAGCTGTATTTGATATATTTCCTTGAATATCGTTGTTACGGAGTGCATATTACGGCTGTGGGTAACAAATACAATAAATCGGATGAACAATATATATGGGAGCTATAACTATATCTGAACCGATCTTCACCAAATTTGGCATACTACCTTCTAGACTAAATTCGGTCGTATGTGCCAAATTCCATCCCATTTGGACAAATATTAGACGTTTGGTGCACAATAAATGGTAAATCGGACGAAGTTATATATGGGAGCTATATCCAAATCGGAAGCGATCTCGATAAAATTTAGCAAAGGTATTTCTGAGCTGCATTTGATATATTTCCCCAAATATTGTTGTTACAGAGTGCATATTACGGCTGCGGAAGACAAAAATAACAAATCGGATGAACAATATATATGGGAGCTATAGCTATATCTGAACCGATTTCGATAAAATTTGGCATACCTATTTTCATGCCTAATTTGGTTGTATGTGCAAAATTCCATACTATTCGGGCTGATATTATGCACAATAAAAGGAAAATCGGTGCACAATAAAAGGCAAATCGGACGAAGATTAAATTTTTACCGATTATCTCCAATTTCAATAGGGTTCGTCCTTGGGCCAAACAAATGTTTGCAAAATTTCATCTCAATCGGATAATAAATGCGACCTGCATTTTGTTCACAAGAATACATGGACAGACGGACGGACGGACGGACGGACGGACAGACGGACTGACATGCATAAATCAACTCAGAAAGTGATTCTATGCAGATCATCAAAAGGAACTATGGGTCTATCTCGTTTCCTTTTGCCTGTTACAAACAAATGCACAAAGACATTATACCCTGACCACCTTGTGGTGTAGGGTATAAAAATATTCAATCATATTCTGAAACGTAGCATGATAGAAGACTATCTCATCAACTTTGGCTTTTTGTGAGGCTTTTTTGATACTTAAGCCCCTTACAGCCGTAATATGCTTTCGTAGTAGTTCGTTTTCTAAAACGACTCCATATCTCACTCCCAGATATCAACAGAGACCTTAATATCAAATTTTAGGATATCAGCTCTATTTCTTCACCAAATACCAAATTTAATACTATTTGGAATTTTTGTACAAGTTAGTACACATTTTCTAAAGCACCTTCATATTTCAATTACAGATATCAAGAGAGACCCCAATATCAAATATGAGGATTCCAGCCTAAAAATTGAGTACGTATATCCAAAATTAGTACAAATTAGTACTTTTTGAACAATTATAGTCTTTTATTGAAAAACACCACCTGATCTCAACACCAGATACAAACAGGGACCTTAATCTCAAAACCCGGTATTCCAGCTATACAGAGTGAAATGAGAACACTGCAACTAATTTCAGACTGCTGTCATTTTTAAGCCACTCGTCCGAAAGCTGTTAAAATTATTCCAGTGACAGCTCATAAATCTTTTGTGTCTCGTAACATCGCTCGTTACCGTGTTGCTGGTAGCGTAGTCCGATGTCGAGGAAGTGGATGGAAGAAAACAGAAACATCAGCAGAAATGGTTTCAAAAGTAAAGAAGCGACTTGATCGAAACCCGTGTTGCAGTGGCCGAAAAATGACTCGTGAGCTGAACATATCACAATATTCTATTTGGCAAATTTTGAAAAATGAGCTCGGGCTAAAACTATTGAAATCCCTAAAAATGCAAGAATTTACACCGCAACAGAAAGAAAAGAGATTCAAAAGAGCTAAAGAGTTGCTTCGCTTGGCCGAAAGTGGTGAACTGCCGAATTTGGTTTTCTCCGTTGAGAAAACATTCGTTGTCTAGCAGTTCGTGTTTACTTGCCAAAGAGGTCAGCTGAAAATCTGCACCTTCGGTTGGCCACCAGAACTCAAGCGCCGGTCATGGTGATAGTGTGGGCCGCCGATGGTCGATCTCCGCTCGTTTTAATCGACCGTAGTATCAGAATAAATGGCATATATTATTGTGAAAATATCCTGGAGGGTGTATTAAAGCCTTGAGCATGCAAACATTGGACATTCCAACAGGCCTCAGCACCATCGCTACCAAAATCTCCAGATACCAATCCGTTGGACTATTGTGTCTGGAATATTTTGGAAAGCAAGGTTGGCGCTAAAAAAATACCAAAGTGTCGATCACCTCAAGCAAGCGCTTCGCCGGGAATGGACAACATTCGGGCAGCGTATGACGGTTTCATTGGCCGTTTGAAGGCCATAATTCGTTCCAGAAGTGACCAATTCGAACAAATCTAAATTTATTCTAAAATTTGAAGCTATTTCCGAAATTTTTTGCTTTCATTCAATAAAATTTAAAGAAAAATGTAAAAATTATGGCGTTTGACTTTGTTGCAGTTTTTTTTATCTCACCCTGTGTACATACACTCAATACCAAATATAGTAACATTTAGTACTTTTCGTATAATTTTAATACTCATTCGAAACAACTTCCAAATCTCCACTTAAGACACTAATCGTCACCTAGATATGTCTATCCCTTCAATCAGGACCAAATTTAGTACAATTTAATACTTTTCGTGCAATGAATATGCACGTCCAAAACCACCTCAATATGACCAGATGACACATGAACAGCGACACTAAGAACTAGAGTACGCTTTTCCAAAACCACCTCCAAATATCGAGCTCAGATTCCATTACTAATCTAAATATCAAATTTCAGTACCATTCAGTACTTTTCGAACAATTATAGTACGCATTCTCAAATCCACCTCCTGGACACAAACAGTTCTGGCTATATAAAATTTCACGGTTTCAGTCTTATTTATTCAGTCAACATCAAATTTAGTACCATTCGAACAACCTCCAAATCTCAACCTCAGATACGAGTTATCTAAATGTCAAATATCAGAAGTTTACCTCTATCCTTTCACCCAATACCTAATATTGTACCATATTGTACTTTTCGTACAATTATAATACATATTTCCGAATCCATCTCAATATGTAAAGTCTACACATGAGCCAGGACCCTACTACGAAATTTTAGATTTCAAGTTGCTCATCAAATACCAAATTGTACCAAACATAGTACTATTCTGTACTTATCGTCAACTTGTAGTACACTTTTCCAAAACTACCTCTTTATCACAAATCAACAACCAACAGAGACCCCAATACAAAATTTCTGTTTCATCCGTTCACCCCAAACCAAACAATTCCAAATTTAGTACCATATTTTGTACATTTCGAGCACTTAGTACCCATTTCCAAAAAAACCAACCAACCAACCAATTTCCAACCTTGATTCTAAAGCGACATTTTCATTTTTTAGCTCAATCCCATCACAAATTACCAAATGGTACCATTTTGGAAGTTTAGTTTAATTTTAGAACTTTTTGAAACCTTATAGTTCGAACCCTTTGGCACATCTATCCTGGGTCTGGATTCTTGTTCTTTTCTTTTTTCTACTTTGTAAAAGTTTTCTTTTCCCATTTTCATACTCCATCAGTGACTCTCATTCCATATTTCAGACTTCTGTAGCTCATTTCTTTTTTTTTTTTTTTTCAATAAAAGATATTAAATTTCAATAAAATCTGCCATGTTTGGACCTAATCGTGCTAGATATATCAATCAAACATGGACCCATGTAACCTCCTTCTTCATGTTAATCATTAATGCACATAATCATAATTGGACAAAATTGTTGGTAGGGTTTACAAATGTAGTTGGGAAACCTTTGTTAAGCTTTCCCATGAATAAAACACCTACCTTTTACATCAATATTGGCCGTAGACTGAACACTGCCCAGGGCATTGGTCGCCTCACAGCGGTATGTACCGGCTTGCAATAGTGTTGGCTTAACGATAACTAAACTTCCGTTGGTTTGTATACGCAATGCATCGGTTGATTGTGCCACCAGGCGACCATTGAAATACCACAGGATCTCTGGAACGGGCAGACCAGAAGCTAAACAATCCAAACGTACTGGATCACCATTTAAAGCGACAATTGCATCCGTAGGTGTGAGAACAAATATGGGGGCCTGAGGTTGAGGTTGTTGTACTGTCGTTTGCTGGCGTGTTGCTGGCGTCGGTCTCGATTTCTGTTGTCGTGTCGTCAAATTTATTGTTGCTGGTGTTTGAACTGGTCTGTGCCAAGTGCTAAAGGGCTGAAACTGTTCGTCAAAGCCAGAATTCCTATTGTAGTCATTGTTGTTATTGTTGTTAACATGGCCACCATTGTGTGTTGAATCCGGATAGAGTCTGGCATTTGTAGCAAAATGCTCTCCTTCACCGACTGGAAGTGGCTGGAATGGCGATTGTGGTTGATTCCATAGTTGATTATTGTTGTTGCCATTGCTGATATAATGATAGTTGTTGTTGTTGTTGTTGTTTTGACGATTTTCCAGTCCATGAATGGGAATATCATTGTCCACTATCATCCGTATGGGCTGGGTACGCGTCTCGCCCACTTCATTGCGCCCAATACACTCATAAATCCCAATATCATTTGCATTGACGTCGTTTATTTTGAGCGTGCCGGTGGGCATCACCTGCATTTTTGGTGCATAGTCCTGTGAGATCTCATTGGTGTTTTGCATCCAAATAATATCCGGCTGTGGATCTCCAACCATGCGACACGGCAATTCAACGCTTTCGCCTGTTGTTAAATGCATGTCATGCGGTGCTGTGACAATTTCCGGTTTCTCTGCAAAGACGAGACAGGCAAAACAAAAAAATGAAAAAAAAAGTTAAAAACGTCAACAGCTAGAAATTGTCCTGATGTGAACTGAAAATATGTTTTTGCAAAACAAATATGGCTTGAATTGAACGATTCTATAGTATTTTTGTAATTCTTATTCGGGCATTGCTTTTAGTCATGAATGAATATTCTGTTCGACAATTGAATAGAATAGGGGATTGATGTATCAGATATTTTGCTTGCCATGGACAAGTATGAGTGTAGATTTTCTAGTTTAACTGGTTTAATTTACTGCTTTGAATGCTTTTAGTTGCTGTTTTTCTAAGTAAAATCCATTAAAATGATATATATTGAAATTGTTTGTTTGATTTAATTAAGAACGGTATTTAGTTGAGAGCATAAGATATTTTTCTGCAACATAAATACACATTGAAATGTTCAAAAGGGGGGTTTTTTTAGTAGGTAGATGGGTTTTGCCGACAGATATATACCCTCATACTGTCAGTTTATTAAAATAAGTTAAGACTTACAATATGATAATTTAACATGTTGACCCTTTATGGAGGAGATACCACGTGAGGAACAAGATATAGTGGACTAAGGCATTCAACTTCATCTGATACTATTCAAAATATTTTGGATGTCGACAATTTGAAGAAAATAGGATATGTCGGATAACCAATTTTTGGGAATAATTGTTAATCATAATTTAAACCTTTTGTGGGGAAGGTACGAGAAGAAGTTAGCTGATAAATTGCATATTCACATCAGATGATAGATTAAGAAAAATGTGTCGATTTGCCTAATTTTAAAAGAATTGCCGACATGTTTCGTAATTTATGAGAGATATATGCATTGCAAATTGTGAACCTTTGTGGGCGAGGTACAAGAAGGAGTAGGCCGAGATCTATAATTTTCCGAACTGAACTTGAGTTAGTAAAAATATTGGGATATATGAAATGTGAAGGTTTTTTTTCGCATTTTATGAGAGATATAATTATTCAAAATTTTGACCAGTTGTGGGGGAGGTAAAAGAATCTGATGCTTATTTCAGTAGTCCGACATATTCTTTCTAATATTCTAATCTTCATAACAGGTCATGTGTTGATAGAAATATTGAGATGTGCCGAGTTTAGAAGGAATCGAATGCTCATTTCACGATTTACGAGCTTCATGGCCATTTAAAATTTTGTCCCGTTATGTGGGAGGTACCAGAAGGGGTAGACCGGTATATCACATCTCCGGTTCGATCTCTACCATCAGATCGTGTGATGATGGAAATATAGATATGTGCCAAGTCTGAATGGAATCGGATGTTAATTTCCCGTTTTATGAACTTAAGGGATATTCAAAATTTTGACTCTTTGTGGGGAAGGTACCAGAAGAAGTTTAACCTATATATCCCATTTTCACATTAGATGTTGAGTTGGTAGAAATAATGGGATGTCTGAAATATTAAAACAATTGGACTCTTACTTTACATGTTATAAGAGTTATATTTATTCAAAATTTCGACCCTTTGTGGGGAAGGTACCAGAAGAAGTGTAACCTATATATCCCATCTTCATCCCAGAAGAAGATATTAAAAATATTGTGATGTATGTAATTTGAAGAGTACCGGATTCTTATTTCGGTTTTTATGATGTTTTTGGTTATTCCAAACCTATGGCCCTTTGTGGGGGAGGTACCAGAAGGATCTCTACCATATTTATAATAGATCTTGTGTTCATAGAAATATTGAGATGTGTCCGAATAGAATCGGATGTTAATTTCGTATTTTATGAGCTTCATGAATATTCAAAATTTTTAACCCTTTGTGGGGGAGCTACCAGAAGGAGTGGACCGGTGTATTCCTCCTTTACACCAGACCTTGTGTTAATAAAATTATTGGGATGTGAGAAATTTGAAGACAACCGGACTCTTACATCACATTTTATAAGAGTTGTAATTATTCAAAATGTCGAACCTTTGTGGGGGAGATACTTGATGGAGTGGACAGATATTGTCCATTTTCGCACCTGACCTAGCACTGATGCAAATATTAGGATTTGCAAAGCTGTAGCAAAATCGGATTATCGTTTCTCTTTCTATGCAAAAAAAAATTAAATTTCGAACTTTTGTGGGAGAGGTACCAGAAGGAGTAGACCGATATATTCCATTTTCACACCAAACCTTGGGTTAACAAAATTATTGGGATGTGTGAAATTTGAAGACAATCGGAATCTTACATCACATTTTAAAAGAGCTGTAATTATTCAAAATTTTGACCCTTTGTGGGAGAGGTACCCGATGGAGTGGACCGATATTGTCCATTTTCGCACCTGACCTAGCACTGATGAAAATATTAGGATTCGCAAAGTTGGAGCAAAATCGGATCAACATTTCATTTTCTGTGCAATGAATTATTATTATTATTTTTTTTTTTTTTTTTGAAAATTTTGACATTTTGTGTGGGAGGTACCATAAGGAGTGGACCGATAGTGCCCATCTCCGAAATCGATTAAAGTTTGACAATAATATTACGATGTATCAAGTTTCAATCAAATCGGATACTATCTTCGAGAGTTATCGTGCGCACCAGCTAAAACGACAGACAGACGGTCGGAATTTCCTAGATCGACTCCAAATTTCCTGAAACGAATTTGGTCCAATGAGGTCTAAAATAGTTTTTTTTTCGACGAGGCACTTTTTTGCCATATCAAATGATATGTGTTAAAGAATAATCTTTAGTACCAGATATCAGATACAGCTCAGAAATAAGTGTTTACATATATCTTTATCCGATCTCAGGTTTTTTGTGCACCATATGGCTAATGTCAATTGGATTGAGTTTTGGCACTTCCCACTGAATTCAGCCTAAAACCAAGCGTTTCAGATTTTAGCTCGCAACTATATAGCTATAGCTCCCATACATATGTTTCATTCGACTTGGTGTTAAAGTCCCTCACATACATAATATGAATTCCTCAACAATGATAATTGATACCGGCCATCAGATACTGCTCGAAAATACCTCTGCCAAATTGTATCGATATCGCTTAAGATTGTTATATAGCTTCGATATATGTCTTCATCCGATTTTACGGTTATTGCTCGCCATATATGTAATATCAGCCCAAATTGAATAGATTTTTTCATATTCAACCGAATTTTACCATTCGGTGAAACTCGTTCCGGTATGCTCCAATAAATATTTTTTAACATAATCCATATCGAAGTCATACAGCAATGTTATTTGGATCGTAGTTGGTTCCCAATATATATATATTTTTTTTCTTGTTACGGGTGCTCTACTGAATACACATAGTGATGTAGGGTATAATATACTCGGGTCCGCTTGACGTTTGACCTTTCCTTACTGGTTTTTATGTACAATTTTGGTCCTTGGCAAAAAAAAAAAAAAAAAAATGGGACGATATTACTCATCTCTGAACTAGTCCTATGTTTGGTAAGGCTTTTTCTCAGAAAATTTTCAAAAAAAATGTAGGTTAGATCGCACAGTATTAATTATGTAGATAAGGATAAGAAATTTTTAATACCTTCAACCAAAGGACAAACAATAAAAGGTAGTCATGCGATGAAAGATTTAAAAATCTTGAAAAAAATGTCATTTCGAATTTGGTACCATCTTACTTTAAAATTATTTATGACAAATCCAATTTGGCTTTGCCTCGATTTTTTAAAATTAAGAGAGTAACGCGAAAAAGAATGGAGGGTTAAGATTGACGAATTTTATATTTATTGCACTATGTCCTCAACCATAAGATGGAGAATATTTCAATTCGCTTGCAGCGCCTTTAAATATTCTTCCGTGACAATACGTAGAACATGTATTCCTGATCGGGACAATATAATTTGAATAAGAATTGTAAGAGGCATATGTGGTACTCCTCGATATAGGTCCACATTTATGCACCCCCTACATAATGGTTCCTCAAATTTTCCGCATTTTTTTTGTTTTTGTTTGATAAGTAAAACTTTAACCTTCGAAGGATTTGTAATCTCTTAATTTAAACCTTTAAACAAAATGAATGAACAAGAGATGAATGAACTGTAACTTGGTAGCTGGTTATTTGGAATCATCTTCTTCATGCCATATAAGTTTCAAATTGTATAAGTTTTCAAAATTGCAAAAGTGAAAACGCATCTCTTTGTGAAAATGTGTCTATGTGTACACATGGTGTATGTGGAAATTCAATGTAAATGATAGCTATGTATATACATAATGTACTTACTGCAGTGGAAATGAGATCCTTGCAATCCGTTAAATCCGTAACGATACAATGATGCTGGTGTTTCACAAGTTAACGCAATGGTGATGGCTTTACGTTGCGGATGCTGTTGGTAGTAACGCCACAACGAGTAAACGCCACAATTACAGTCGATTGGATTGTCTTCGAGTCGTAGGCGTTTCAAACTTGGCAATCGAGTGAATGCATCGGCTGGTAGATTAGTGAGTTTATTTTTAAACATGAAACTGTGGCCGATAATGGATTGAGACGGTATATAACGGTGGTAATGCATAGTTCAACGGAGTTGAAGAGTAACGTCGTCATCATCATCGTCAGCGCCATCAGAATAAAAAGCAAGCCGAAAAATAAAGTAGCATGAACCATACATAAAACAGCATTGGTAATGGAAATGGAAATCATCAGCAATCCCAAATTCAAAGGTGATATGCAGCAATATGTGGAAAGAAGAAGAAAAAAGAAATTTTAAAGCAATTAAGAATCAAATCTATCGATAGATGTGTATACCAATTCGTGCGTGATTTGCTAACAGCCAGATATTTTTCACACTAGCCAACAAAGGGATATCGAATTGAAACCTATTAGAAAACTTTTGTATATAAGTGTCAGAATTGTGTGATGGATGCAGGTACGATGGGAAGAACTGTTTTATATAAAGATGTTTTATATAAATCGTTTTTACAACCTCCATCATACTATATCAGGGTAAGTCGTCCCCACACGGTATATATATTCTTGATCAGTATAAAACTCTATGTCGATTTAGCCAATGCTTCTTTGGTATCTTTTTAAATCAATTTCTGATATAAAATACAAAGATAATAAAAAAAACAACTAAAAAACTATGTGATAGGAAAAACATTTCTGTTTTTGGTTAATTTGAACCCCTAAATATTTTGCAATCATCTCCAAAAGAAAGAAGCCCCTCTGTATCTCCAAAATTAGACTTATCTATATGATTTGCTTGTCTACGATATTTGGCTATATACGTCAACGAAATCAGCATAAAAAAGCTAGAAGTTCATATATTGTGTATTTCGGATATTCCCTGTAAGTAATGCTGGTATTTTTTTCACACAAAATTAGTGGTCCATTGTACCCGCTGTCCTAAACTTTATGCAAGACGGCTGCAAAATCAGGAAAATTTTAAGTTGTTGGTCCATTTGAACCCCCTAATATATTGCGGACATCTTTAAAAAAATAAGCCTAGCCCTTCTGAGCCCAACCCTATCCTTGTGAAAATTTTCGTGAGAATCGGACGATGTCTGAAATACTTATATAATATCCCCAACCTGTGTTGTAAGGTGAAAAAATATTACAAAATATTATAAGTCAAATTGAAAAAATCTCATGCAATAAAAAATATGAAATAATAAAAATATGTCACAAAATACTACAAAATCTATATTAACATCATATTTGACTTATTTTTATGCGATTTTAATAGATTTTATACTTTAATGCCAAGAGGGCATTCTGAATTGACAAAATTTGTCAAAATCGGTCCAGCCATTCTTGAGATATAAGCATTCCTTTCCTTTGTATATACACATTTTATATATTTCGCTATATATATCCGATATATTTACTATCGGCATCTACGGTCTAACGGTCATAATTAACCTGTTCGTCTATTTATGATTTCGCCAGGACTAAAAATATTCGCGGTATAATGGAAATTTGACTTTTATTTATAACAAATATTATAGTCTTTTTCACCCACTAAATATTACCCGATGACCATCAAAATCGGAAGGCTTCTGACCAGCCCGAAGCTTTAGCCCCATGCTAATTTCCGCGTCGATTGGTCTACAATTGCGACCTGTAGAGCAACTGAAAAATCAGGATTTTTTTCAGTTTTTGGTCCATTTCGACCCCTAAATATTATGCGATCATCTCCAAAAGAAATAGTAGTAGAATATTCTGACCTTATCCCCACCTCCATTCTAAATTACGTGAAGATCGGGCCATAATTGCGACCTGTAGAGTGATTACAAATTAACATGGACAGACGGACGGACGGACATACATAGCTAGATCGACTGAGCTCGGCGAGATAGGAAGATCCATATATACTTTCCTATGTGGGAAATCAATATGTCGAGATGTTACATAATTTTTGGCCCAATCAAACTTATAATACCCCCAACACAAAGTGTTGTAGGGTATAAAAATACAAACGAAAACCATTATATGGGGGCTATACGAAAACGTGGACCTGCATAAGTAATGTATCATAATCTACTACAATGATTTGTATTTATTGAGAGTCGTCGGTACAAAATTCAACTCTCCATAGAAATACCAAATATCAGGAAGTACCATCACATGGAGGCAATAGAAACACCTTATATATAGACAACGTACAGACAAAGGAAGTAGAACCCATTACGAACTCTAAGTACCGAATTTTAAACAACTTCTTTAAAAATGTGGCTTTAATTCTAAATACAATGAGCATGAATTTCGAAAAAAAAACTCCTTTACCCCAACACCAGACACCAAAGGTAAGGAAAGTGCCGTTTTTATACCCTCCACCAAAAAAGGTATGGAGGGTATATTAAGTTTTTCATTCCGTTTGTAACTCATCGAAATAATCATTTTAGACCCAACAAAGTATATATATTCTTGATCAGCGTAAAATTCTAAGACGTCCGTCTGTCCGTCTGTCCGTCTGTTGTAATCACGCTACAGTCTAAACGAATTAAGATAGGAAGCTAAAATTTTGCACAGATCTCTCTTTTGTCTGCAGGCAGGTCAAGTTCGAAGATGGGCTATATCGGTCCACGATATCGTATAGCCCCCATATAACGGTACCCCCCGCTATTCGGTATTTTGATGATTTTACCCACATTTTTCAACGGAATTGTCTGAAAATCCACACAAGGAGTTCCTTGTGGGTACTTTATACCTCGGCAGAGAATTATCAATATAGGTCCACAATATCGTATAGCCCCCATATAACGCTACCCCCCGATATTCGGTATTTTGATGATTTTACCCACATTTTTCAACGGAATTGTCTGAAAATCCACACAAAGAGTTCCTTGTGGGTACTTTATACCTCGGCAGAGAATTGTCCATATAGGTCCACAATATCGTATAGCCCCCATATAACGGTACCCCCGATATTCGGTATTTTGATGATTTTACCCACATTTTTCAACGGAATTGTCTGAAAATCCACACAAGGAGTTCCTTGTGGGTACTTTATACCTCGGCAGAGAATTATCAATATAGGTCCACGATATCGTATATCCCCCATATAACGGTACCTCCCGATATTCGGTATTTTATGATTTGACCCACATTTTTCATCGGAATTGTCTGAAAATCCACACAAGGAGTTCCTTGTGGGTACTTTATACCTCGGCAGAGAATTATCTATATAGATCCACGATATTGTATAGCCCTCATATAACGGTACCCCCGATATTCGGTATTTTGATGTTTTTAGCCATACTTTTCAACGGAATGGTCACAAGGGGTTCTTTGTACACAAGGGGTTCTTTGTGAGCACTTTACCCACCGACAGAGAATTCTCTATATAGGTTAACGATAACGTATAGCTCCCATATAACGGTACCCCGCGATATTCGGTATTTTGATGATTTTAGCCACATTTTCCAATCGTATTGTCTGAAAATCCACTCACGGAGTTCCTTGTGAGTACTTTACACGCAGACATAGATTTGTCTTTATAGGTCCACAATATCGTATATCTCCCCATATATCGACACCTTCCTATATTAGATATTTTAAAGATTTTAAAAGAATTTTTATTGGATTTTATTTTTTTGAAAAATTTTTTTTTTTCTAATTCGTTCCAAATGGTGGAGGGTATTCAAAGTTCGGCCCGGCCGAACTTACTGCTTTTTTACTTGTTGTCATTCCGTTTGTAAATAAATATTCGTCATAGACCCCATAAAGTATATATATTCATAATCAGCATACAAATTCTAAGTGGATTTAACAGTGTCCATATAATGGTAGCTTCCGATATTCTGTATTTTTATAGTTTTAGCAACTTTTTTCCAAAAAATTGTCTAAAAATTGATATTTGTGGTTTGTTGTGGGTTCTAGCTCCAATGGCGGAACATTGTATTTATAGGTCCAGGTTTTCGTATAGCCCATATAAAAATGTGCCTGCCGATATTCGGTATTTTAACGATTTTTGCCACATTTGTCTACGGGTTTGTCTAAAAAATGGTATTTGTTGTAAGTAATGGGTTCTAGTTCCGAAAGAGGGACATTGTAGGTTCACGGTTTGGTATAGCCCGCGTATAACGGTACCTACCGATATGCGGTATTTTGACGGTTTTACCCATATTTTCCACGGATTTATCTAAAAATTGGTATTTGTAGTTTGAAATGGGTTATAGCTCCGGTGGCAGAACATTAAATATCTAGGTCCACGTTTTCGTATAGCCGCCGAATAACGGAACCTTCGGATATTCGACATTTTGACGATTTAAGTCACATTTTCTAATAGATTTGTGTGAATAAATCTTTGTTTTTGAGGAACTCACCCCAATGTGGGACGTTCGAAAATTGCCATTAAAATGTTCTATGCGATAATTACATAAAATATCAATTTTGAAAATGTGGCTAAATTCGTCAAAATATGAAATATTGGGGAATTATTTTCTATCATTTCCAAGTATTTTATATTTTGATGAATTTAGCCACATTTTTTAATTTGCTTTTATATTTTGACTTTTGGTATCGCAAATAGCTATTAACAAAACAAAAAAAAAACAGTAAAGAAAGTCTTAAAGTCGGGCTGGGCTGACTTTAGGAAACCCTACACCACTTTGCATATTTAGTAGAGCTTCACATAACAAATAAAAGTTTTTATCCGGAATTTGCGAGATATGAACAATGATTAAAGATATAATTTAAAGTCCAAAGTAATCAGTATATGAGAGGAATATCCTCCTCTGAATCGATTTCTATCAAACTTTCCGAGACATTTGTGCCTTTTCAATCCGGGCTTGTTTTACCCGTTTGGTGCACAATTAACTTGAAATCGGATAAAGATATATATGGGAGCTACATCCAAATCTGATCCGAGCTCGATAAAATTTGGCGAAGGAATTTCTGAATTTTATTCGATATATTTCCCTGAATATCTTTTTTACAGAGTGCATATTACGGTTGTGGAGAACAAATATAACAAATCGGAGGAAAAGTGAATACAAGGGCTATATCTGAACCGATTTTCACAAAATTTGAAACACTTTTTTCTGGACTCAATTTGGTCATAAGTGCTAAATTCTATCCCATTTGCGCTACAGGTTTGGTGCCCAATAAAAGGTAAATCGGACGAAGATATATATGGGAGCTACATCCAAATATTAACCGATCTCGATAAAATTTTGTAAAGGTATTTCTGAGGTGCATTTGCAATATTTTCCCAAATATCGTTATTACAGATGCAATACATATACAGTTCTTGGGTCAAACAAATGATTTGTGCAAAATTTCATTTAGATCGGACAATAAAATGTGACCTGAACTTTGTTTACAAAATACATGGTCAGACGGACGGACGGACATGCATAAATCGACTTAGAATGTGATTCTATGCACATCATCAAAAGGAACTATGGGTCTATCTCGTTTCCTTTTGCCTGTTACAAACAAATGCACAAAGACATAATACCCTGACCAGCCTGTGGTGTAGGGTATAAAAAAAAGAAAAACTTATGCTGCTTGACCATTCGACCTTGGCAATTACATACATATTTTCAAAAGTGTTAATTTTCAAATGGTGGTACGGCCCCGCTCGAACTGAAATGCAGTCAAGAAAAGTAGACAACAACTCATGTTATTATTTTATTATAATTATTATTATTATTATTATTATTATTATTATTATTATTATTATTATTATTATTATTATTATTATTATTATTATTATTATTATTATTGTTATTGTTATTATTATTATTATTATTATTATTATTATTATTATTATTATTATTATTATTATTATTATTATTATTATTATTATTATTATTATTATTAATATTATTATTATTATTATTATTATTATTATTATTATTATTATTATTATTATTATTATTATTATTATTATTATTATTATTATTATTATTATTATTATTATTATTATTATTATTATTATTATTATTATTATTATTATTATTATTATTATTATTATTATTATTATTACTATTATTATTATTATTATTATTATTATATTATTATTATTATTATTATTATTATTATTATTATTATTATTATTATTATTATTATTATTATTATTATTATTATTATTATTATTATTATTATTATTATTATTATTATTATTATTATTATTATTATTATTATTATTATTATTATTATTATTATTATTATTATTATTATTATTATTATTATTTTAATGCTCTCTTGTCCTGTAAACTTGCTTGGACACGCCACAAGAGTGCGACTTTGATTTGGATGCACTGTCTAAAATTGTAAAAGTTGAGTCACTGACATTCTCAGAAATGCCCAGACTAAAAGGGATTAAATTAAAATCCTGACGCATTGTTGGTTTAATTTTAATTGTGGTTTAATGGACACCTGCAAAATTGGACGGCTAGTGTAATCATCACCTGGCTACAACATGATCCTAATGGATCGAATGCATAAATGAAAGGTTTCGTTGGTGTCTGGATGCTTGCGAATGAAATAAATCAAAATTGATGGTAGTACTTACAGGCGATTCAATGCGGGTAGATTGGCAAATGTATCAGCATCTATTTGCCAGATGGCATTGTTTTCCAGATAACTTTGGAAAGGAATTCACAGTAACATCATCAGAAAAAGCGGGTACATGAAAAGAAAACAAGAATTACGGTGTAGAAATATGTATTTAACTCAAGTTGTGTTTGTCGAGAGAATTGAGAAAACCATTGCAAATATTTGCATTACATTTCAATTTGTTCTAGAGGTACTCGACAGATTGATATCACTGGTGCAACAGTACTCTTCGATGAAATCTTTCGATGAATGTGCTTTCATACTTACATGCCTTCAATGCTTTTCAACGGTTGGAAAACGTTCTTGGAGAGACGGGTAAGGCGATTAGAGTTCAAATAGAGAAAACGTAATGACGTCATCCCTTCAAATGCTCCATCTTCCAGGTGGGCAATTTCATTTTCGTTGAGGAAAAGATTCGTCAGCTGTGTGAGTCCATAGAAGGCATTTCTGGGTATTTCATTGATGTGATTAAAGCGCAAGTCTCTGCAACGAAAGAAGGCGTGGAGTAATTATTAATTAATGACTACAACAATCTGTTTGCAGTATTTAAGTATCATTGACATAACAATAACAAATATAAAATAACCAACGAGGATTTAGTAATTAATAATGTTAAAGTTAAATTCATAAACAACAATCGATATTAATTTTTATGTTGCAAATTTATAATGATTTATAGAAAGATACAGAAAGGCTAATTCAAAAAAGGCAAAAAACAACAAAAGCAACTACCAACTTGGATCGAAAAAAATAAACACATCGGGAAGGCTATGTTGTTGTGAACTATTCATTTTTTGTTATCAGCAGCATAATAATCCCATGACATAATTCAATGCAACAAAAGTTTGCAGCGGCAGTGAGCTTTGCCACAAATTACCGTTGAACATTTAATTATTTTCAATATTTATATCCTACCCAGCAAAAAGGAAAATAAACTAATAAAAATGCATATTACTAACCAGCGTTCGAAAATAAACAGTACACAAACATAGTGTACTGTACCGGTAAAGTATCACTAAAAAAAATTTAGCGGTAATGTACCGGTACACACTACCACTAAAAAATATTTTAGTGATATTGTACAGAAACACAACGATGATCGTAGTGTACCGCAGTCGGAGCACTAAAAAATCGTAGTGTACCGGAGTCGGAGCACTAAAAAAAGTAGTGTTCCGCAATCGGAGCATTAAAAAATCGTAGTGTACAGAATGCACCACATTAAAAAATCTAAATCATAAAACTGATTTTAAACACTCAGCCATACTTTGTAAAATATTTATTTTTTTACACCTACATTCATTGATTTTTCGGTACCACTAAATAACAGGAAAATTATTTGCATAATAACCCGTTACAACGCAACAACTAAAATACCCTTTTTCGCGGAAAATTAAAATTTTCAGTGGTTAAACACGAATTATTATCACTTCAGAGTTTCTACATATTCTCACATTTTTCTACATTGTTCAATTTCGCAAGCAATCTAAACATACATGACAAGTAAAATAAATTCAGCTTTTTTATTTTCATAATATTGAATTGTATTAGTCATTTTTGCATTATCAAACACATCAAACATCTAATTATACCCTCCACCTTGGAAAAGAGGGTATATTAACTTTGTCATTCCGTTTGTAACATCCTTAAATATTCGTCTTAGACCCCATAAAGTATATATATTCATAATCAGCATAAAATTCTAAGACGATTTAACGATGTCCGTCTGTCCGTCTGTCTGTCTGTCTGTTGAAATCACGATACAGCCCACATTATCTGATCGTGAGCAGTGCTATTTGCATCGTGTCTAGGATGCTTGGTATTGAAAATGAGATATATCGGTCCACGTTCTGGTATAGTCCCCATATAACGGTACCTCCTGATATTCGGTATTTTAATGATTTATGCCACATTTTTTCACGGATTTGTCTGGAAATTGGTATTTGTAGGTCATAACGGGTCCCTGAGCGTGTGGCAAAACATTGCATGTATAGGTCCACGTTGTGGTATAGCCCCCATATAAAGGTACCTCCCGATATTCGGTATTTTAGTTTTTTTGCCACATTTATTCACAGATTTGTCTAAAAATTGGTATTTGTGGGTCATAATGGTTTCCAGCTCCTGTGGCGAAACATTGCATGTATGGGTCCATGATTTGGTATAGCCCCCATATAACGGTACCTCCCGATATTCGGTATTTTGATGGTTTTTGCCACATTTTTTCACGGATTTATCTGAAAATTGGTATTTGTTGGTCATAATGGGTTCCAGCTCCGGTGGCGAAACATTACATGTATGGGTCCATGATTTGGTATAGCCCCCATATAACGTTACCTCCCGATATTCGGTATTTTGAGGGTTTTTGCCACATTTTTTCACTGATTTGTCTAAAAATTGGTATTTGTGGGTTATAATGGGTCCTAGTTCGTGTGGCGGAACACTGTAATTATAGGTCCACGTTTTGGTGTAGCCCCCATATAACGGTACCTCCCGATATTCGGCATTTTAATGGTTTTTGCCACATTTCTTCTAATGTTTCTTTTACCCTAAGGTGGAGGGTATTAAAAGTTTGGCCCGGCCGAACTTTGTTTTTTTTTTACTTGATTTTCTCACAAATCGTAAACAACACATATGTGGTACACTACCGAAACATTATTTTTTTATGTTCTGCTATGTGGTACACTACGATTTTTTAGTGCTCCGACTGCTGTACAGTAAGATTCTCGTTATCTTAGTGTACCACTCCACCTCGGAACGGTACAGAACACTACGGTACAGTACCATACTGTTTGTTTTCGGACGCTGTTACTAAACCATTATTTTGAGTGACACGTCCGTATGTTACTTTTCAGCCAAATCGACTGGAAAACAAAAGAACACAAAATGCCTAAAATTGGAGAAACTATACAAAACAAGTAAAAAAGCAGTAAGTTTGGATACCCTCCACCATTTGGAACGAATTAGAAAATTTTCAAAAAAAAAAAAAATCCTTTAAAAATTCTTTTAAAATCTTTCAAATATCTAATATGGGGGGATACACGATATTGTGGACCTATAAAGACAAATCTATGTCTGCGTGTAAAGTACTCACAAGGAACTCCTTGTGTGGATTTTCAGATAATTCCATTGGAAAAAGTGGCTAAAATCATCAAAATACGGAATATAGGGGAGTACCGTTATAAGGTGGATGTACGATATTGTGGACCTATAAAGACAATTCCGTTTCAGGGGTAAAGTGCTCACAAAGAACTCCGTGTGTGGATTTTCAGACAATACGATAGGTAAATGTGGCTAAAATCATCAAAATGCCGAATATCGCGGTGTAGCGTTATATGGGAGCTATACGTTATCTTTAACCTATATAGAGAATTCTCTGTCGGGGGGTAAAGTGCTGACAAAGAACCCCTTTTGTACAAAGAACACAATTCCATTGAAAAGTGTGGCTAACATCATCAAAATACCGAATATCGGGGGGTACAGTTATATGGGGGATATACGATATCGTGGACATATATAGACAATTCTTTTTGAGGGGGTAAAATGCCCACAAGGGACTCCTTTTGTGGAATTTCAGACAATTCCATTGAAAAATGTGGATAAAATCATCAAAATACCGAATACCGTGGGGGTACCGTTATATGGGGGCTATACGATATTGTGGACCTATATAGATAATTCTCTGCCGAGGTATAAAGTACCCACAAGGAATTACTTGTGTGGATTTTCAGACAATTCCATTGAAAAATGTGGCTAAAATCATCAAAATACCGAATATCGGGGGTACCGTTATATGGGGGCTATACGATATCGTGGACCGATATAGCCCATCTTCGAACTTGACCTGCCTGCAGACAAAAGAGAGATCTGTGCAAAATTTTAGCTTTCTATCTTAATTCGTTTAGACTGTAGCGTGATTGCAACAGACGGACGGACAGGGCTAAATCGTCTTAGAATTTTACGCTGATGAAGAATATATACTTTGTTGGGTCTAAAATGATTATTTCGATGAGTTACAAACGGAATGGCGAACTTAATATACCCTCCATACTTTTTTGGTGGAGGGTATAAAAACACGGCCAATATGTAAAAAATACTTGAAATCAGAGGAATCCTTACAAGGGTACGATTCCAAAAAGTGGACCGATATGACCCAATGATTTTGAATGTAATTCAAATATCTCTGTCAAATTTCAAAGCTCTCTCCTAAATGTAGTTAAATATATCTCAACCTTGCTGGCACCAAATATCGTTGTTGTGGAGGGCATTTTACGGGTGTGAGAGACTTAAACGCAAATTTGATAAACTTTCGTTTAGGCTGAATTCGTTCTTCCGTGCCAAAATTGACTCCATTCGGACTTATATCAACCATTTGGTCAGCAATAAACTTCAAATCGATTAAAGTCAAAGTGAGTAAAAATATGATTTGACGAAGGTATTTCTAGGCTATATTTGATATATTTCCCCCGAATATCATTGTTACGGCTGTAGAGGACAAATCGGATGAACAAGTTGAACCAGTTGCCACCAAATTTGGCATACTTGCTTCTAGGCTCAATTTGGACGTATGTGCCAAGGTATATATGGGAGCTAAATCTAAATTTCGACCGATCATATCCAATTTCAATAGGGTTGGTCCTTGGGCCAAACAAATAATTATGTCTGAAAATCCATACCACAAGTTCCTTCTCAGTACTTTACCCCCTGGAAGAGTATTGTCTACATAGGTCCACTATATCGTATAGCCCCCATACAAATGTACCCTTGATATTCGGTATTTTGATGATGTTTGCTACGTTTATCAACGGAATTATCTGAAATTCCATACAAGAGTGATTTACCCCCTTGGAAAATATATTACTTGTTAGATTCACGACATCGTATAGCTCCCATACAACGGTACCCCTCCTCCGATATTCGGTATTTCGATGATTTTAGGGACATTATTCACCGGAGTTGTTTCGAATTTCCTACTTAGAGTTCGCAATGGGTACCGCAGCCTATGACAATAAATTGCGTTTTCAGGACCACGTCTTTGCATAGCACCATTTTACGATACCTCTTGATATTCGGTATTTTGATTATTTTAGGAACATTATTCACCGGAATTGCTTCAGATTTCGTATTTTTAAATCTTAATGGGTACTACAACCTATGACGGAAAATTGTATATGTATAGGTCCACTATATCGTATGTCGCCCAGATATTCGGTGTTTTGATTAATGTAGCAAAATTTTCAATGGAATTGATGATTCGATGATATTAGAGACATTATTCACCGGAATTGTTTCAAAATTCTTATTTCAAGTTCGTAATGGGTACCACAGCCTAAGACATGTCTAATTAGGCCCACGATAACGTAAAACTCCCATATAGCGTTATTTTATTTTATTCGGTATTTTTATGATTTTGGGGACATTATTCACCTGAATTGTTTCAAATTTCATTTTTAAAGTTCGTAAAGGATACTACAACCTATGGCAATAAA